TTGCTTTCAATGTTTACTTTGTTATTTTCAGATTTTGTTGCAATTATGAGTAGCTAAACCCCTATTTAGTTAGGGGGAAGTTTGAAGCCATGAACATGCTTGAGATATGAATTGATTTCTTCCAATTGTGATTTGATAAGTTGTGATTGCAATTCAATTATTTATCTTTTTCATAACTGATTCTTGCATGTTTATTAAGGATGCATACTTAGTTTTCATGCATGAATTAGACGCTAGAATATAAATGAGTTTCACCTAATCGTTACAAGTTTATATTCATGAGTAGTGAAAGTTGTTTGTCACAATCGCGTTAATTGAATTCTTGGCAAATGTATCATGCATTCATAGTTACAATTGCCTCGTCAACACTTATGATTTTCATTGAACGTAATGATCTCTGATTGTATCTCTATGATGCATTCATATAGGGGACTTTTAGAGAATTATTTGAGTTGTTGCATGCATTCATCCAATTCAATGAGTAAAGGAAAATCTGAGGGTTAATTTGTGCATCACGGTTAATCTGGGGTGTTGAGCATCATAGTTTATTGAAAAGCAATTGGAAAACGATTCATATACAAGTGTGTTGATAGGATTTTTAACGTCTATGCAAATAGGGTCAAAATCACATGAAATACTTGCAAGAATACAAGGATATTGTAGTATAGATGCTCATGCAAGGTCGTTTTCCTCAAGGACTATTTGGATAATTTGTGTAGAAACAATTCCTAATTAAATACTTAGAATTAAAACTTGAGAAAAGAGAGTTTGAGAATGGGTAATATTAAAAACGAATTTTAAACAAAAACTAAAATAATCGAAGAAAAGAGTTTTAAATACCAATTTATAAAGGCACTAGGGTTCCACCATCACCTAGCAATCCTATGAATTTCTACCAATTACTTACGATTTACACATGCTACTTTGAAGGTTAGGTTTTCCTAATATATATTCTCCTCGTGATATTCAAGCAAGAACGTATATCTAACATGTAATCCGTCTGTGATATTCAGATCAAATATGAACATGCAAGACTCATTAAGTTTTATGAAAACCTTTTGAAGAACCATGCAACCCCTAAGAACGTGATATTCGCCTTAGATGGAATTACAATTATCAATCACAAGAAGCAATACTCAATCCTCCGGTGATATTCCGACCGAATTGCATCCAATTACTTGTCTAAACATCCTAATGGTGGCCAATCATCAAGATAATTAGATAGTTTAAAACAGTGATCAATAATTCAAAGTGTGCATGCAATCAATCATAAGCAATTAAATAAAAATTACATATTCATGCTAAGGCTCAAGGTTTCGCCCTAGCAAAAGGAATTAGTTATGCATATTCATAACTGAAATCATAGAAAATATTCTTAAGAAGAAAAGGAATGAAAACACCTTAAAGTATAAAATCTCCAAGAACCCTCGCCAAGTTCTTTGTCTCTGAAGTTGAATAATAATAAGCGTAGAGAAAAATGTAGACGGTCAAAGCAATATATTTTGCTCAGCCCCCACAAACCCTAAGACATAGGTTTCTTATTCCAACTAGGAAACTAAGAAAAATAATAAAATATCTTAGAAAATAAAACCCTAATTAAACTAGGAGAATCTGCCAAATACTTGTCCAGCCACGTTTTAGCCTCAGATCTCCTCCAAATCCTGCCCAAGACAGGTTGTTTTAAAGATAAGGATCTTCCGAACACATCTCCAGAAGGTCACGAAACCATCCGAGGTCATTTTGGGCTCCAAAAACGCAATTTAAGCCCAGAAACGTCATTTTCCAGCACCGCGCATTGCTCCTTTATTTTATCACCAGAAAAATAACCGCTTGATGGAAAAATTCCAAATTTTGATACGACCAAGCTAAGTGACTCACAAACGTTCTCCAACTGGAATTGCTCCAAAATTCATCCATTTGTCCATGTTTTTCTCTAAAGGAAGTCGAAAGTCCTATATTGAAAATACAATTCAAAGTATCAAAATTCTTCCAAAATATTAACCAAAATATACTAAGAATAGGGTTAAATATATAATATAAAATTCACTTGTCAAAATACCCCCAAACTTAGCTTTTTGCTTGTCCTCAAGCAAAACAGGACTAGAAAACAAAAATAAAAACTAACAAACTTGACACTTAACTAAAACTTAGCTAAAATAAAATTCTCACTTTCAAGTTGCAATCCATAGAAAATGTTAAAAATTAGAACATCTTTTCAAAAGTTCCAACCAATCCCACCACAAAGTCTAAGCCATTTAGAATCAATTAGAAAAGAATTCACAAACTTCCTTTGGTGTAAAGTGAACCAACATAGTTAAAGAGACTCGACCAAAACTCTTACCTCTCATCCCTTTATTCGTACTTCACATACTAACTTCATATATATATATATATTTTTTTTTTTCTTCTTTTCTTCTTTTCGAGTTTTTTTTTAATTTTTTTTAATTTTTTTTAATTTTTAAAGTAACAGTAGTGGTCGTGTAATGTCGGTTCACTTAAGCTTTCGATCCAACCCATGTAGCGAGCTTTAGGTCAATGACTCCCAAACCACTAAGGCTTTAGGGCATTAGGTGTGGAACACCCCTAAGGACTTATTAACCCGAGCTGAAAAAGGCTACGAAACCAACTAACCACCCTGCCTCATGCCAAAACTCTGCCATTTGACGCGAGAATCACTGCTGATTAGGCAGGACTGGCCCGGTTACTAGGCAGAACCTCGGGTGAGACAATTATTACTTTATAACACATACTAACTTTACTTTATTTAGAACAAAAATAACAATAACAACAATACACTTAGACAAAAAGCAAGTGTTTCAATCTCACTCCCCACAAACCATGTTGGTGTGAATGTGCAATTGTCAAAGTATAATTCATGAATTGGTGTCTAAGTAATGATAAATAGAAAAGACTCTACTGTGGGATTAATCTTTACCATGTCCATTTGTTCTAATGTTTAAAATAATCTATGGATATTAGCTTAAAAACGAAAAAATTTAACTGACACAAAATAAAAACCCTAAATTTTTACTACTTTCCCACCCCCAAACTTATTTCACACTTTGTCCTCAAGGTGTGGAAAATAAATATAAACTAAAAAAAAAAACGAAAAGCAAAACTAGAAAAGATAAAAACAAAAGTCTAGACCAAAGAACTAAAAGAAAAAGGAAAATAGAAATGAAACAAAGAAATAAAAAAATGAAATAAATAAGAGAACAAAAAAAATAACAAAAAGGAAAAGTAAAAAATAAAAAATCACCTAACATAAGAAACATTGGGCCGTGACAAAATGATGCACATAGCCTCGTGATGACCCTTTGGATTATAACCCAGCCTACAAACCAAAGAAACCGAAAGGAACATTGGATGCCGATTTGAAATTGGAATGGCATGCAGCTGGCATGTGCATTAGAAAGTGGGATTATGCTAGTTCCCATGTCTGAAGAAAAAAAAATCACGAGCAGTCCTCACAGTCATTGTTAGGAAATGAGCCCAAACGGCTATTTTCCTTTTACCAAATCGAGAGCCAAACGACACTGTATTTTCCCAGTTTAAAATAACCCTCTCGGACAGAGACACAGGGCCACACGATGAAAACACGTGTCATACATCCGTGTAAGAAACTCCTTAGGATTCCAATAGAGACGCTGAAATGTGTTACAGTCACCCATTGTTATGTCAGATGGCATTTAGAACCCCTAGACCGCATTATTTCTCGCAAGCTGCACCTCCATAACAGATCTCTCTCTCTTATCTCTCAGAAGTTTAGAACCCATTTCTCTTCAAAATGAAAAGAAAAATTTCCGTCTCCCACTCTAGAAAATCCGAAGAGACTCACGGAGCGTTTGCCATGTTCAAAAACTCGTAACCCAACCAGTAAGTCAAACCTTTATGTCACAGCAGCTCCTGCATCCTCTCAAAGAGGTGTCTCCGTAGCCTTCAAGAACCGCAACAAACAAACCTCTGTGAGTCCCGAGCCGTGGTAGAGTAAGCTGAAAAAGTGACGATGCGGAAGGTAAAAATCCTCCTCAATTTGTGTTATTTCCGTGTCAGCTTGATGTATTTGGGTAAACAAGATCTAACACATGCATGTGTGTTTATCCGTATGAAGTCCTCCAAACTTGCAGATCTGAGCCGATGTACACCACGCACTCGGATTGTCAGCAAAATCTGAAACCAGTTAGTGTCTGCCATAGAAATGATGCACAGTGCAGCTCCAATCATCCCACAGAGGTACACATCTTCACACCAACTATCGTAATGTGGTGATTTCCATGTCGCCTATAACTCCACCATGCAAATGTATAAGCTATGTGTCTCGTTGGTGTGCAAAGGTGCTTGAGATGGATGCTGGCCAGGAGCAAGGACACGGCAACAGAGACGACATTTCGGACCTGAGGCATGCAGAGGTAAAAAATTTTGTTCTCTACCAATGATGACCCCCAAATTGATACACCTGTTTCCACTGGAACTCATACACTTGATTGTTCTGTTGCAGGGAAAATACCCCAGATCGGCAAAGGAAACGTGATGACAAAACCATTAGCTTACGCTGAAGAATGGCCACTTAGCAAAATAGAGAGGTATAACATCGCATCGCTGCTTGTATATGACAGATTTGCTACTGGATGTATGATTCCGTCTAAAATGATCTCTCTGTGCATTAAGTTTTGTTTATCTTGTTTGCTGGCTGCATAAAAATCAGGTGTTGAAATCAGAGGTAAAAATGTGGAAGATACTATCGGTAAAATAAAACAAGTAAAAGCAAAGAATGTTTTGTTTTTTTTTGTTTTTTTTTTTTTTTTTTGTTTTTTTTTTTGTTATTGTTTTTTTTTTTTTTTAAAGAACATGAAAGGCAGCCTAGGAATTTAAATGCAGCTAGAAATTGAAAGTAATGAAAGAAAAATGAAACAAAGTAAAGAAAAACTTAGAAAGTTGGGTTGCTTCCCAATAAGCGCTTGATTTAAAGTCTGTAGCTAGACGTTGCAGAAATCTGGTGGCTAAGTCACTGGATCCCTCAGAGTTAATGACTCGCGTGTTGTGTCATAGGGTGATTCCAAGTATGGTTTGAGCCTGTGACCATTGACCTTGAATTCATGACCTGTGACCTCATTTTTTATCTCTACAACCCCATGCGAATAAACTTTAGTGACCACATATGGCCCTGTCCAACGTGACTTAAGTTTGCCAGGAAACAACTTTAATCTGGAATTGAAAAACAACACATTTTGCCCTGTGTAAAATTCCCTGTGAAGGATTTTACTGTCATGAAATGCTTTAGTCTTGTCTTTGTAGATTTTTGAACTTTCATATGCATCATTACGAATCTCATAGAGCTCATTGAGCTCCAACTTACGCTTCTCCCCAGCTAAATCATATGCAAAATTTAGCTCCTTAATAGCCCAAAACGCCTTGTGCTCTAGTTCCATAGGTAAATGACATGCTTTCCCATACACAAGTCTAAATGGCGACATCCCAATTGGGGTTTTAAAAGCTGTCCTGTAAGCCCACAACGCGTCATTTAATTTTAAACTCCAAACCTTACGTGTAGAGCCAACTGTTTTCTCCAAAATCCGCTTTAATTCTCTGTTTGTAACTTCCACTTGACTAGATGTCTATGGATGATAGGGTGTAGCCACGCGATGAGTAATCCCATACTTTGCTAATAACGCATCAAACTGTTTATTAATAAAATGCTTCCCCCCATCACTAAGAATCACCCGTGGAATTCCAAAACGTGGAAATATAACCCCCTGGAGGAATTTCAGTACCACTGATCCTTGATTAGTTGGTGTTGCAATGGCCTCGACCCATTTAGAAACATATTCCACAACAACTAAAATGTACTGATTCCCATGAGATGATGGGAATGGTCCCATGAAATCAANATATTAAAAACGAATTTTAAAACAAAAACTAAAATAATCGAAGAAAAGAGTTTTAAATACCAATTTATAAAGGCACTAGGGTTCCACCATCACCTAGCAATCCTATGAATTTCTACCAATTACTTACGATTTACACATGCTACTTTGAAGGTTAGGTTTTCCTAATATAAATATTCTCCTCGTGATATTCAAGCAAGAACGTATATCTAACATGTAATCCGTCTGTGATATTCAGATCAAATATGAACATGCAAGACTCATTAAGTTTTATGAAAACCTTTTGAAGAACCATGCAACCCCTAAGAACGTGATATTCGCCTTAGATGGAATTACAATTATCAATCACAAGAAGCAATACTCAATCCTCCGGTGATATTCCGACCGAATTGCATCCAATTACTTGTCTAAACATCCTAATGGTGGCCAATCATCAAGATAATTAGATAGTTTAAAACAGTGATCAATAATTCAAAGTGTGCATGCAATCAATCATAAGCAATTAAATAAAAATTACATATTCATGCTAAGGCTCAAGGTTTCGCCCTAGCAAAAGGAATTAGTTATGCATATTCATAACTGAAATCATAGAAAATATTCTTAAGAAGAAAAGGAATGAAAACACCTTAAAGTATAAAATCTCCAAGAACCCTCGCCAAGTTCTTTGTCTCTGAAGTTGAATAATAATAAGCGTAGAGAAAAATGTAGACGGTCAAAGCAATATATTTGCTCAGCCCCCACAAACCCTAAGACATAGGTTTCTTATTCCAACTAGGAAACTAAGAAAAATAATAAAATATCTTAGAAAATAAAACCCTAATTAAACTAGGAGAATCTGCCAAATACTTGTCCAGCCACGTTTTAGCCTCAGATCTCCTCCAAATCCTGCCCAAGACAGGTTGTTTTAAAGATAAGGATCTTCCGAACACATCTCCAGAAGGTCACGAAACCATCCGAGGTCATTTTGGGCTCCAAAAACGCAATTTAAGCCCAGAAACGTCATTTTCCAGCACCGCGCATTGCTCCTTTATTTTATCACCAGAAAATAACCGCTTGATGGAAAAATTCCAAATTTTGATACGACCAAGCTAAGTGACTCACAAACGTTCTCCAACTGGAATTGCTCCAAAATTCATCCATTTGTCCATGTTTTTCTCTAAAGGAAGTCGAAAGTCCTATATTGAAAATACAATTCAAAGTATCAAAATTCTTCCAAAATATTAACCAAAATATACTAAGAATAGGGTTAAATATATAATATAAAATTCACTTGTCAAAATACCCCCAAACTTAGCTTTTTGCTTGTCCTCAAGCAAAACAGGACTAGAAAACAAAAATAAAAACTAACAAACTTGACACTTAACTAAAACTTAGCTAAAATAAAATTCTCACTTTCAAGTTGCAATCCATAGAAAATGTTAAAAAATTAGAACATCTTTTCAAAAGTTCCAACCAATCCCACCACAAAGTCTAAGCCATTTAGAATCAATTAGAAAAGAATTCACAAACTTCCTTTGGTGTAAAGTGAACCAACATAGTTAAAGAGACTCGACCAAAACTCTTACCTCTCATCCCTTTATTCGTACTTCACATACTAACTTCATATATATATATATATTTTTTTTTTTCTTCTTTTCTTCTTTTCGAGTTTTTTTTTAATTTTTTTTAATTTTTTTTAATTTTTAAAGTAACAGTAGTGGTCGTGTAATGTCGGTTCACTTAAGCTTTCGATCCAACCCATGTAGCGAGCTTTAGGTCAATGACTCCCAAACCACTAAGGCTTTAGGGCATTAGGTGTGGAACACCCCTAAGGACTTATTAACCCGAGCTGAAAAGGCTACGAAACCAACTAACCACCCTGCCTCATGCCAAAACTCTGCCATTTGACGCGAGAATCACTGCTGATTAGGCAGGACTGGCCCGGTTACTAGGCAGAACCTCGGGTGAGACAATTATTACTTTATAACACATACTAACTTTACTTTATTTAGAACAAAAATAACAATAACAACAATACACTTAGACAAAAAGCAAGTGTTTCAATCTCACTCCCCACAAACCATGTTGGTGTGAATGTGCAATTGTCAAAGTATAATTCATGAATTGGTGTCTAAGTAATGATAAATAGAAAAAGACTCTACTGTGGGATTAATCTTTACCATGTCCATTTGTTCTAATGTTTAAAATAATCTATGGATATTAGCTTAAAAACGAAAAAATTTAACTGACACAAAATAAAAACCCTAAATTTTTACTACTTTCCCACCCCCAAACTTATTTCACACTTTGTCCTCAAGGTGTGGAAAATAAATATAAACTAAAAAAAAAAACGAAAAGCAAAACTAGAAAAGATAAAAACAAAAGTCTAGACCAAAGAACTAAAAGAAAAAGGAAAATAGAAATGAAACAAAGAAATAAAAAAATGAAATAAATAAGAGAACAAAAAAAATAACAAAAAGGAAAAGTAAAAAATAAAAAATCACCTAACATAAGAAACATTGGGCCGTGACAAAATGATGCACATAGCCTCGTGATGACCCTTTGGATTATAACCCAGCCTACAAACCAAAGAAACCGAAAGGAACATTGGATGCCGATTTGAAATTGGAATGGCATGCAGCTGGCATGTGCATTAGAAAGTGGGATTATGCTAGTTCCCATGTCTGAAAGAAAAAAAATCACGAGCAGTCCTCACAGTCATTGTTAGGAAATGAGCCCAAACGGCTATTTTCCTTTTACCAAATCGAGAGCCAAACGACACTGTATTTTCCCAGTTTAAAATAACCCTCTCGGACAGAGACACAGGGCCACACGATGAAAACACGTGTCATACATCCGTGTAAGAAACTCCTTAGGATTCCAATAGAGACGCTGAAATGTGTTACAGTCACCCATTGTTATGTCAGATGGCATTTAGAACCCCTAGACCGCATTATTTCTCGCAAGCTGCACCTCCATAACAGATCTCTCTCTCTTATCTCTCAGAAGTTTAGAACCCATTTCTCTTCAAAATGAAAAGAAAAATTTCCGTCTCCCACTCTAGAAAATCCGAAGAGACTCACGGAGCGTTTGCCATGTTCAAAACTCGTAACCCAACCAGTAAGTCAAACCTTTATGTCACAGCAGCTCCTGCATCCTCTCAAAGAGGTGTCTCCGTAGCCTTCAAGAACCGCAACAAACAAACCTCTGTGAGTCCCGAGCCGTGGTAGAGTAAGCTGAAAAGTGACGATGCGGAAGGTAAAAATCCTCCTCAATTTGTGTTATTTCCGTGTCAGCTTGATGTATTTGGGTAAACAAGATCTAACACATGCATGTGTGTTTATCCGTATGAAGTCCTCCAAACTTGCAGATCTGAGCCGATGTACACCACGCACTCGGATTGTCAGCAAAATCTGAAACCAGTTAGTGTCTGCCATAGAAATGATGCACAGTGCAGCTCCAATCATCCCACAGAGGTACACATCTTCACACCAACTATCGTAATGTGGTGATTTCCATGTCGCCTATAACTCCACCATGCAAATGTATAAGCTATGTGTCTCGTTGGTGTGCAAAGGTGCTTGAGATGGATGCTGGCCAGGAGCAAGGACACGGCAACAGAGACGACATTTCGGACCTGAGGCATGCAGAGGTAAAAATTTTGTTCTCTACCAATGATGACCCCCAAATTGATACACCTGTTTCCACTGGAACTCATACACTTGATTGTTCTGTTGCAGGGAAAATACCCCAGATCGGCAAAGGAAACGTGATGACAAAACCATTAGCTTACGCTGAAGAATGGCCACTTAGCAAAATAGAGAGGTATAACATCGCATCGCTGCTTGTATATGACAGATTTGCTACTGGATGTATGATTCCGTCTAAAATGATCTCTCTGTGCATTAAGTTTTGTTTATCTTGTTTGCTGGCTGCATAAAAATCAGGTGTTGAAATCAGAGGTAAAAATGTGGAAGATACTATCGGTAAAATAAAACAAGTAAAAGCAAAGAATGTTTTGTTTTTTTTGTTTTTTTGTTTTTTTTTTGTTTTTTTTTTGTTATTGTTTTTTTTTTTTTAAAGAACATGAAAGGCAGCCTAGGAATTTAAATGCAGCTAGAAATTGAAAGTAATGAAAGAAAAATGAAACAAAGTAAAGAAAAACTTAGAAAGTTGGGTTGCTTCCCAATAAGCGCTTGATTTAAAGTCTGTAGCTAGACGTTGCAGAAATCTGGTGGCTAAGTCACTGGATCCCTCAGAGTTAATGACTCGCGTGTTGTGTCATAGGGTGATTCCAAGTATGGTTTGAGCCTGTGACCATTGACCTTGAATTCATGACCTGTGACCTCATTTTTTATCTCTACAACCCCATGCGAATAAACTTTAGTGACCACATATGGCCCTGTCCAACGTGACTTAAGTTTGCCAGGAAACAACTTTAATCTGGAATTGAAAAAACAACACATTTTGCCCTGTGTAAAATTCCCTGTGAAGGATTTTACTGTCATGAAATGCTTTAGTCTTGTCTTTGTAGATTTTTGAACTTTCATATGCATCATTACGAATCTCATAGAGCTCATTGAGCTCCAACTTACGCTTCTCCCCAGCTAAATCATATGCAAAATTTAGCTCCTTAATAGCCCAAAACGCCTTGTGCTCTAGTTCCATAGGTAAATGACATGCTTTCCCATACACAAGTCTAAATGGCGACATCCCAATTGGGGTTTTAAAAGCTGTCCTGTAAGCCCACAACGCGTCATTTAATTTTAAACTCCAAACCTTACGTGTAGAGCCAACTGTTTTCTCCAAAATCCGCTTTAATTCTCTGTTTGTAACTTCCACTTGACTAGATGTCTATGGATGATAGGGTGTAGCCACGCGATGAGTAATCCCATACTTTGCTAATAACGCATCAAACTGTTTATTAATAAAATGCTTCCCCCCATCACTAAGAATCACCCGTGGAATTCCAAAACGTGGAAATATAACCCCCTGGAGGAATTTCAGTACCACTG